ACTTGAAGGCTTCAGGGCGTAGGGTGTGGGCCGCCCTCAGTTTTCTAGGTGTAGGGTGTGAGCTTGTGGGTATTAGATTATGTAGGAGTTCAATGCTACAGCAGGGAGAGGAGATGGAAATGAGCTTGGGGTTTGAGACTTGAGGATTACTAGTCCCTCAGCCCAGTGTGCTGCGCACAGTGGTAGCCTCAACACGACAAACCTTTTTCGCGCTGTGCGCTTGAGCCACCCCATCAGTGACGAAGTCATTGCTGAATGGTTTGGGAAGCAGTGCATCCGAAAACACATCGGTCACACTTCAAATTCCCAAACCATTAGGAACATTGTGGGGAAATCCCTACTGGAGTCTCGCTCTAGCGCTTTCCGCAAGAGCGCTGTTCCCTCCTCTACAATGGACCATTGTCCGGATTGCATCACAAACCGCAAGTAATTTGCAGGATGTTGTTTTGTAAGAAGATCAGCAAGCATTGCCCTAGTGTCGATCCACCTGATTCGACCACAAGTTTCTCTAAGGTCGGCCTTAATTACAGCCAAATCAATGGCCGTTCTCTTATCACTGACATAAGCCGTGGTGCTGGTACACTTGTTTGCCGCATCGTAAAGACTCTTCGAGTCCACAGCAGCAATGAAAGGCAACTTGGAAGCCTCTTCACGCCATCGTTCTGGAGTGACCATGCCGTAGAAGGCTTCCAGGAACATTAACCGATGCCAGTGGACGGACCCAATTCCTCCTTGCAGAGCTTGGCCCTCCGCCGCCAAAGTGTCCACCACCTTGCGCTTGAGTCTGAAGCTCTTCCAAGAAGCGATTGTTGTCGGGACTTCTATTCCCGACTTGGCCAAGTCTTCGTCGTGGTAGATGATGATTTGTCCGCCCTGACTGCTTAGCTGCTGGAGTTGCAAAAGGCTGGAGTGGATCTTCACCGCTGAGGCTTGATTTTCATCGCCACTCGCCTTCCAGAAAGTCGAGCTTCCAGTCCAAGTCTCCTCCGCAACAACGCGGATCCCCTTCGGGTCGCACCACTGGTCCTCGATGATCTCCTTGGTGATCTTTGGGCCTTGGACGAAACACTCCAGTTGGCGCCGAGGTTGAAGGTTATGTAGATCTGGTCCTCCTTCGGCAGCTCCAGGATGGAACGTAGTTCTTCGAGGAGCCTTATGATGTCGGATCCAGCAGGTCTCCGTCTCCTCCCAGAAGTCCTCCGGCGAATCCTCCAACCACAGCTTGTCCTTGGCGTTGCCCCAGGCAGCATCTGTCACTACAGAGACACGAAGGCGCTCCCAAGGAACAGGCATCACTCGGATGCCCAGGTGCTTGTACTTGATCGCCTCCTCGGCGATCTTGTTGCCCTCGATCAAGTCCATCACTTTCGGGTCCGGGAAGCATTGCTGGAGCAGCGAGACTCTGCCAGCAATATCGCATCTGGTCTCCTTGGCCAGCCACGAAAGAACTCCAAGCTGGCTCCGTAGTTGTTCCACCTCCGTCTTGGTGCAGCGGGAGTATCTCTGTTGCTTCCTTTTTCGATTGATGTGGTTGAGGTTGACCTTCTCATCCACATAGAAGGTCTGATTGATCGTAATCGAACCATCGGGCTCCATTTTAATGTCCTTGCCGGTGAACCTCCCTGAGCCAGTCTGATTCTTGCCGAGCTTGTACTCCTTGGCGATCGTCTCGATGATCTTCCAATGTTCATTTGAGCCACCATGGATCATGTCGTCGGTCGCCAGCCCAATGATTCCTTCCAGCTGGCCCTCCTGGTGTCGGTAGAAGACACAAGGATCTGCCAAGCTTGCCCGGTAACCGAAATCCTCAGTCAATCTACGAAGAAGATGCTGATACCAAGCGTTGGCCCATCAGTCAATCCATAACATGTCTTGAGGAGTTTGAGAAGCTGGCGAGGATCTGCCCCTGGAATACCTTTTGACGGCAGTAGAGCTCCCTCTGGATGTCGTCGCCGGAGTGAAAGGCTTGGGTGAAGTCCAAGAAGCCTGGTGTCCATCCCATGCTGGCTAAGACCTGGGCCACGAAGATTACGGAGTCTCTTCCCACTTGAGGCGTCGAACTCTCGACATCAAGTGCATCAGCTTCGGAGTAGCCCTTCATCACACGGCGGCATTTGGCCTTGTGAGGTCCGTGTCCATCATCTTCGAGAAGTAGGTCTTCGCTTCGACATCGCTCGGTTCCAAGGGCTTCTTGGTCAATACATATCGGGAGTCCATCACCTTCTCCGGTTTCTCGTCCTCAATCCTCCGGGACTCAGCAACTGGAAGAAGCTTGTAGGCACCGGTCTCGAGGTTGTTGTTGATCTCCTTGAGGATGGCTCTGTCCAGTCTTCCGGAGTCTGGTCCAACAAAGTCCTTGGCCCTTGCCTCCTTGCGTTGTCGAAGTTTGGAAAGGGTCTCCATCCGCATGTGATAGATCTCCAACAACTCGGCTCGATGTCGCTTCCTCGGAGGTTCTTCTCCCTCCTGAGGTTCTCGCTTGACACCACCGGAACTTGGTTCGGCTCAGCGTTGGCTTCCAAGCTGCTCGATCCGGCTCTAGAAGTCGTTCCAGGCTCCTCGCCATCGGGCATGTCAATGTCCTCGGAGTGGGCGGCTTGTCCTCCTTCTCGTTCTGGTGTCGGTCCTTGTTCGAGTCCAAGAGGAGGAGGGTCCGTGGCGTAGTTGGCAGTCTTCCGAACGACTCTCCTCGAAGGTAACGGACCAGGTTCTTCCCCGGTTGGTGGTTCGTCTTCCTCGTCCTCAGCCAGCGGAGGAAGGTCGTTGTCCTTGGTCAAGTCGACGAAGTTCTTGATCGGGACTCGCTCGAAGTCCTTCCGGGCCGCCGAAATGCCATTCAACCAACCGGACATCGACAGTGACTCTTCCTCCGTAACTGGTCGTATCCTTTCGGGAGCCGCCTTGATCAGAGTCCCTTGATAAGCTATCCACACCGTGCTGGGGAGAGCAGTCATCAAGACTCGTCCGGGTCCATGCCAGTAGCTTTCCCTGGTTTTCTTTGTCGTTCCGACCCTCTGAATGGGAGAATAACCGGCACGCATCAAGAGACGGTTCCTCGTCATGCACGTGATGTCGACCAGCTCCTTCCAGTGCTCCTCAGTCTGGCAGTCGTAGGTCCGCATCGTCTTGTAGAGGATGTCCTTGAAAAGGCCGCCGGCTCGCTCGGTAAGTCCTCGTTGAGTGGGCGCCTCGAGAGAACTGGGAAGAACTTCAGAACCGTCTGCTTCGGCCATTCGTCGGAAGTCAGACTTGAATTCTGTTCCCAAGTCGAGGAGCAGCTTCCGAGGCGGACCAAAGAACCGGACCCATTGCCTGTATGCTTTCCTGGCCTCCCTGGCAGTCTCTGCGGCCATTGGAATCACGAGCTGGAAATGGGTGCTCCAGTCGATCATGTTGAGCGCCGGAACGGTCTGATTTTGATGATCTCGGAGATGCACAGTGTCGATGCCCACCAGGTCGTTGACGTGGTACTGTTCTCTCGGCGGGGCTGCTGGTCTCGCCGGAGACGGAAGCTTGTAAGCCTCGCACACCGAACATCGCAGTCTCCCAGCAATCTCAATCGCTTCCTCGGGTGCCTTGCTGTGTCGAAGAATCCTGACGAAGCGGTTCACCTCCGGATGGCCAAGTCCCTCATGTGCTCGTCGAACCATTGACTCCAGCTTGGATTGTCTCGTTCCAGGAAAGTGCCGAGGTTCTGGCCCGGGCTTCTGTCAGACCTGCCCTTGAACAAGGTGACAAGGAAATCATAGGGGCGAATTGGCCGGTCTGCTTGTTCAAGCTCCGGCCATCTGACCTCGTCCTCGATCAGGTGCCAAGGCTCCTCACCGTTGCGTCCCCAGGTAGATCTCCAGGGAAGTCCTTCGGCAGGATGTCCGGCTCCAGGTCGAAACAGTCGAGCTATGCCCTTCTGCACCTTGACCACACGGTCATTCTCCAAGACGTGGTCGCCTTCCTGGTTCAGCGTGTCCTCCGGGATGCCCATCAGGATCGGGTCGCGTCGATCCTCGTCGCCGTTGTAGACCTCATTGTCCATGATCTTGTTCTCGGAGTCGTCGTCCTGGTCCAGGTTCCTTGTGACCTCGGCATACTCCTGGGAGGTAAAATAGTTCTCGTCATGGGCCTCGTCCTCAACAAGAATGCTATTAACCTCCAGAAGCTCGATCTCGCCAAGCGCCTTGCCGATGCTTCGTCCGTATTCTCGAAGAATCGCGCTCACAAGTCGGGGGGGATAGACCTGTGCATCCGCTGACTTGCTCTTGCCGTTGATCTTGCCGATGATGTGGCCATGGTCATGTTGACCACTGCACCGGACTCTCGGGCTATGCCTTCATGGTTGGTGAGGAAGCCGGGGGACTTCTTCAAGAGGTCTCCAAGGGCATCTCGGAGATCAAACTCGCACTGGTCTGCCTTGGACAACCAGACCTTCGGCAGTCTGCCAAGGCCGCGAAGCGAGGCATGCTTCCATGATGAGGCTCCCCATGGTTGTTCTAAGACGAAGACTAAACCAAGTTCATGACAAAGAGTGCAGACCTTGACAGCAAACTTCAACAGCTTAATGCCTTCTCGGAGCTTATCTTGATACCGTTGAAGAGCTTTGAAATTGCGATTCCTGAAAAGGGACAGCAATCCATTGAGCTGGCTAAATGGGCCGCAGGGAGGAGATACAATCACCAATCCAGGACGTTCATGCCGAAGATAGGTCAGCACTGACTGTTGGGCAGCAGGCTTCAGCAAGTCATGACCTAGAGCAATGTCGAATGCACAACCTGGCTTCAGACCATGCTTCACAGCCTTGCTCGTGAACCTCCTGGGATTGTACACTTCTGCGATCACATCAGCAGAGAGGACCTCCTTGTTTTCAGTCGTGCGCCCGGAAGGTGACTCGAGCTCTTGGTCAAACAGGGCGAGGAGATCTGTCCAAGATCTCTCCGCCTTCTTCATGGAACCTATAATATGTCGCCTTTGGCCGACATCCAACTTCCTGAGAACTGTTTCGTCACTCATCCCTTGTTCGGGAGGTTGGACGAGGAGCTCTGATCTCTCATGGCCCGGAAGCGAAGGAACTCCTGGTACTCCTCGTAGTCCTCCTGGGGGGGTTCTCTCCCGCTCGATCTCGCGGTAGATCGTGGCTTGGGCTTCGCCTCCGCCTGCTTGTCGGGAAGGTCCCGTGGTGGACGTAGTTCGACTCCTCGCTGCCGGTAGTACTCCTTCTGGAAAGTCGTCGACTCCCTCCGAAGAACATGGCCGCAGTCGACGCAGCGGGCCTGTCTCACCCATGCATTCGACCCCGCATTGGTGACATTCCGATGTTGGCATTCGGCCGGTCCGTTCTAGGATGGCGTCGGGCTCCTTGTTGTAGTCGTCCGCTGCGTGCTCCCCGAGCTTCGGCTCCTGGTGTCGGAGCAATGTGGTCGGGGCTCCGCTCCCGGCCGATCCCCTCGAGCTGGGAGCCGCCTTGGGTGGAGACTTCCGATTGACTGACTTCCTCTCCGGGCTCGGTGTGGGTCTTCCCCACGGAGCACTCGTCCAGGTGTCTTGCTCGTGGTCGGGAAGCCACTGGAAGTACGCCATTGATTGCATCGATAGAAGAGCCTTCCCAGGTTGGCTCCCAACTTGTGGTCCTCAACAGCGATCTTGGCAGGTCGCAATAGCAGACCTCGATCTCCTCCGGGTTCGGGTGCATGGGCATCGGGCTGTCCGTCACCGCCTCGTTGCTTCCCGTGGCCGTTGAGGTCCGCTTCCGGTTGTCCTGGTGCGCCATCTGCTCCGGAGCCATCTCCGACAGCACTTCCCAATGCTCCTCGTCGGTGAGGTCCTCGAGATCCCCCTCCGCCAGGGCATGGCGGACCAGATGGTGCAGCTCTCTGCCTCATGCTCAGAACCTCCACCAGCTCCATCATCTGCTGCCGGAGGATGTTCTTGGGGCCCTTCGTCCCCAGGAACCGCAGCATGGTCTTTTGCACGGCGTTGGCGATGACCACCAGGAGCTAGGAGGTGCAAGGTCAGGCGTCGCCACGAAGTCTCGGCATGGCTCCACTCTGGTCGACGGGCCTGCTTGTTCTGACCCTCCATGGTTGAGTGGATCAGGTGGATCGGGAGGACACGGGCTGTTGTCAAGATTCGAGCTCTGAATTTCATGGACATGAACTTCTGGCACGTGCACATCCTGACCGCCTGCGGCTTGTACCTTGGACATGGCCTGCTTCAAGCTTTGGATCATACCGGAGGAGAAATGATCAAGAGGTACTCTCAAGGCTCCTGTGGGTCCTATATGCAAGGGGGCTTCGCAATGATATCGATGTAGACAAAGTTTGAGGCCTTGCTCAGGATCCAACACAATAGTGGCTCGACAATGAAGGAGGAACGGAAGCGAAAGTAAAAACGGCGCATTGGCACTCATCCCTTCTTCAAACACTGCTGGCCGGAGTATACAACCCTTGGGACCAAGACTCGTAGGAACACATGCTATGCGGGAAGTCCTGGAAATGCCGTTGACAGACCTGAAAGAATGTACTTCTGGTTGAAACTTTGCTTCCAGGCCAGCCTGCTGATTACGAAGAAGTCGCTCGAGAGTTGCTGATCCGATAGCAGTGCGTTGACAACCAGTATCAACAGTGGCGCAGTGGTCTTCATCTATGGGCTCATGCGAATGAACATACATGACTTCATGTGGTAACCCTAAGGCAGCACACCTGTATGCGGACTCATGCGGCCGGTCCTCACGATCCTTGCTCGAGTTGCCGCGGGATGGCTCAGAGGTTCTCGTCGTCAAGTCGACCGCTCCCTCGAAGAACTCGTCGCCAGCTCCAGATCCAGAATTCCGTCGGCTCGCCCGGCGAAAGTCCAGGAAGTGGAGGAAGTAGGCCTCTTCATTGTCGTAGGTCAGGTAGTTGGCCTCCTTCACCTTCGGCTTGTTCTTGTCCGGGCATTCTTTATGCCAATGCCCTACCCGTCGACAATGAGAGCAACGTGTCCTCCGCTTGAGGGCTTCTATCGAGACTTTGTGCGACTCTCCGGTCTTCACATAATCCCCGCCCTTGCCGTTCTGGAACTTGTTGCCGATGTCTCGAGTGGAGCCATAGCCTCTGGCCAATCCTTTCGCTCGCTTGGCATCGTTGACCGCCTTGAACGTCCGCTTGGTCGTCCCCTTGGCGTACTCCTTGATCATCGTGGACAGGATGTCCTTGGCGTCCGACTCGTCGAAGACGTCGCCCTCGTGCATGTCATTCTCCGGAATCGGTTCCTCCAAGGAGTCCAGCGCCCCCATCAAGATCTCGATGTTGTCGCCGTCCTCCCCGTCCTCGATGTCGGAGTGCTCCTCGACATGCATGACCTGGGTGCTGCGCTTGGCGTTGCCGGAACTGCCCAGCTTGAGGTTGGTCTCGTGAACACGGACCCATTCCTTGACGTCCTTCTGGCTCAGCCTTCCTTGCGTGAAGTTCATCAGAAGCTTGACTTCTTCAGAGGAAAGTTGCAGCGCCATCGTCAAGAGGAATCCTAAATATTCAGGTGGCAAGGTAACCTCATGCTCCGACAGCCGGCGTACGCAGTTCTCCCAGCGGCTAAAGAACGCTTTGTGCGTTTCGTTCTTTTCTCTCCTGAGGGCATAGGTCACTTTGTACAGCGTATTCAACATGTCTTCTCGAGCGTCGTCGCCATAGAGCTCCTTGGTGTCCATGATCTTCAAGAGTTGCTCAGCGTTGTCCTCTGAAGACATCCAGGTCGAGTCCTTAGCCAGGTGCTTCAGGTCGTCGAAAGGCGTGCCGGTGAGGTTCTTCAGCAGCATCGGTCCTCTGGCCTTCGGCTTGGTCTTGGTGGTGGCAATCCAAAGCTTGGCCCGGACAAGGTAGTCCTTGAAGGATGTCTCACCATCCCACGCCGGAGGAGGTCCTGCTGATCCGCGGCCGCCATGGTCGTCCTCGTCCTCATCGCCTGGAGCTTGCCGTCGTCCTCGAGGTCGGGCTGCTTCTCGGCGCCGGACGAACTCCTCGAACATGGCGAACTCGCTATCCACATGGCCGCCTCGGCCCGTGGAGCCTTGTGGGGTGTTCCCCGGTCTGGCTCCAGAAGCAGCTGGCGAGAAGCCTGGAGGTCGTTCATACCGAGCCCATGGGTCTTGGGGCTCCTCTTCTTCGTCTCCTTCGCTGAGATCTCCATCTTCACTTTCGGGAACAGGTGGGTCAGCATTCGGCGCGGCGGCTGCCATTGAGTTGGGAACACACTAGCTCAGCACAGACAGTGTACTCCCCTACACAGTCTAGGCCCTGGAGCTATCCCAGTGCTCCGCTACCGCTGTGCTGCGCACAGTGGTAGCCTCAACACGACAAACCTTTTTCGCGCTGTGCGCTTGAGCCACCCCATCAGTGACGAAGTCATTGCTGAATGGTTTGGGAAGCAGTGCATCCGAAAACACACTAGGGTTTAAAGGTTAAGGACGAGTACCTAAACCCTAAACCCAATTAGGGTTTGGCATTTGGGGCTTTGGCTACAAGGTTTCAGATTGTTCCTTCCCTGGGACAGACCTTCGGACTTTCTCGGGAAAGGGATAAATAACGAGATTTCTCCACCATGGCATGTTCGGATGCACCCGAGGCCATGACAGGTAAAATTTGTCCGGTCGTGCTAATCAACATCCTGTGAACCCCTGCCAGACCTGTGTAAAATGGTTCACGCTGATTGGCAGGCATTGCTCTATCTACATACCCTCCCCCGAATAACATGGAACATGGCCTTATCAAGAATACGGTCCCTTTATGAAAGGCGGTTACATGAGCTATACTGTAATAAACTCCTGGTCCTAGTCTTTCCCTTCATAACCCCCCATAGTACTCCCCTATAGAATCCCCTATATAACGCCCCTTAAGGAGTTTAGACTATGGCTCACATGAGGTTCCAGGTCTGTGGGGGAATGCCAAACCTTGATCGCAGGATCTTACCCCTTCGTGCCGCAGCAAGCTGAGCCAAAGCCCTGAATTCAGTTTAGGCTTTAGGGTTCAGAATTTAGGGTTCACAAGCCCTTCTTTTAGGCAGTTTTGACTGGCATTGCTCATTTGTTCTCCCTGTATTTCTTGGGCTCTTCCTTTGTTGATGTTGGTATTTTTAACATCACTGAAATTCATGATCATCCTCTGTGAGTTGTAGCGATGAACCTCTAAACCCTATTTCCCTGAACCTTTTAACGCTGAAGCCTCCAATGCGAGCTCTCAAACCTAAAGATCCCGCCCCCAATCAGACATCTAGCAAGTCCTGTTGGGACTACTTAACTACTTACTGAGAGTTTCAGCGGATGGATTTTTAATGAGCGATAGGCAGGCCAACCCAAACTAGGGAACTAATAAATCCTAAGCATTCCTAAGCCCTCAACCGCTTATTACTCATCTACTACGTCCCCTGAGCCTTCAAGCCGTTCATGCTGCAAAGTTTACTTTAGGGCTTCAATACACATGTCGGTCCACCCTTAACAGCACCGTGTAGGTGTGTACCTCCCGCGAGTCGTAGCAGATTCAATGCTACTTCAGACCGAATACTTCAGACTCCTCCCCTGAGCAAAGTGACTACAGAACCTACATTCAGAATGTGGGTCTATCATGTGCGAATTCCGCTGAACAGTTTTGTGGTGGTTCTTGCCTTGAGGTACTCTTTTGGGGTCTGGTGTGCTAGGCTTGCAATGGTAGGATGAAGACAAGTAGTGGAGCTGCGGCGATTAGAACCTCCAGTTCTGATCGCAGTAAACCCTAAACCCTAAACCTTGGGTACTGCCCCCCCCTCAGTAACAGTGGGATAATAATTATAGTAGGGTTATATATAGCCCTTAATAGGACCCCTAATATAGACTGTTTCTGGGTGGGGGCAGTACCCAACCTAAACCCTTGAGTCCTGGAAGCTGCAAGGGGGAATTTGGTGCCCCTGAATATTAGGTGCCGTGAAATAATCTATGACCAAAAGGGGTTCATGATTTCGAAATAATCCTCAAGTAAAGCTTGGGGCTGAGGCTTTAACTCCACACTTTATACCCCCAAACGCTGTTTTCTTCAGGTGTTAGGTTTTAGCATTGAAGGTTAGGTATGCAATCCTCAAGGGCCTGCAATCACCCGAAAGTGCTCGCATCTCCCGAGTGTCCCTTGTTGTCCCTTGTTTTCAGAAGCGCCCGTTTAGGGTTTAATGTTTGTGGTTTGGGGCTTAGGGTTTAGGGCTACCAAGTTATAATATAGGGGGTATACAAAGTCTAAAAGGGTTAAGAAGCTATTGAGCTTAGGGGTCCCTTCTAGGAGGCCTCCTAAGAGTCCATGCTCCCCCATTTTGAGGAAGGTGGGACTGTAATTTTGGGAGCTACCCAATGAAGCCCTAAACCCTAAACCCTAAACCCTTAATCCTAAACCCTCAACCCTGAATCCTAAACCCTTAATCCTAAACCCTAAATTACTTTGAGAAATTCCCACATCCGCCTGTCTCCTCACTGCTGTCCGCGAGTCCCCGAGCAGGGCGAAAACTGGCTTCAGCACCTGCAGAAAGGAAAGGGGCGAGTCCCTTCACTATTTGAGGGTTTAGGGGTTTAGGGTTTAGGGGTCTCGGGTTTAGGGTTTAAGGTTTAAGGCTAATATTAAAAACCCCATACCCGCCTAAGGTTGAATACTCCCACTGTGGTAAATTATAGTATACTGGGAATGTTTAATATTAGGGAGGACAAAAGTGGACGCCAGTACAGATTCATAGATCCCCCACCACGCTAATCCACATTCTATAGACCCACTAGAAGGTACGCCTAATGTTGGGAAAATCCCACATCGTCTTTGGGGTCCATATTCCGGCCCCTTTGTTTTTGGATACCACCATGCGGGGGTTCAAGGGTGTTGCAACACGCCCACAGCTGGAGTCTAAACTCCTAGTATCTCCCTTCATAACCCCCATAATAGGCCCCTATACACTCCCTTATACAACCCCTGTAAGGAGTTTAGATCATGGTCGTATGGGGCAGTCTCAAGAACCCTTTTTCAAATCGGTCCCTTTCAAAGCTGAGGAAGTCTAGCTTCGTTTAGTCGAAACGGGTTAGCGGCATGGCGCTTTCCAGGCTCTTTCCTTTTGAGTTCAGCTGTTGCCCATAAAACATAAACCTTAAATTGTAGGGTCAGGGGGACGAAGTAAGTGGGTAAATAGTACGGAAAGCTTGGGTTACTGTATGGCCTGTAGGGGTTATCAGTTAATAAGTATACTTACTACGCCCCCCCGTGCTCCAAGAAGCTTTAGCCCCAAACTCTAAGACTCTAAGCTGTGACAGAAATGCACTGATTTTTCAACTCGTCGGACCGGCTTAGGCTGGGTCGCTGTTAAGGAACTTAAATTAAGTTACCATACTGTGGGTATACAGTAAATAATAGGGTTTCCCCAATATAGCAACTTAAACTAAATCCACATATTCACACAGTTTCCATTTCATGTTCCGTTTTCTTTTCCATTCGATTCTCCATTATAGGGGGATAATATCTAAAGTTAAAGTAAGTTGCGTAATGAACAGGAATCCAGTAGGGTTTAGGGTTTAGGGCCCTGCAAAGTCCGATGATCACCTAGAATGCACCTACCAATGTAGCACGAACCCCCCCCGCAAAGCGCCGCATGTAACTGCTGTTCATTTAAAACGGGACTACCCGGGGTTCGAAGGAAGTTTCCCGGAGAGTGGGGCTTGCAGGGCGGGCCCCCAAATTATGAGTTGGGTTACGATTGGGCTGCAACAGGGATAAGTATGGTCGTCTCATAATCTTGCAGCTTTTGGTTTTATAAGTAACTAGATTTGCTGCCTGCGTAGCCGACTGTGCATACTTCACACCGCAGCTGGCGCCTTCCGATTCGGGCGACTGCCGGCGCTGTAGCAAGCCTGTCAACTGACTAGGGCAGAAAAAAAGAACATAAGCAAATTTATGCTAGCTTTTTGGGCTACACCCTTGCTTGTACAGCATGGAACAGTGGGACCAGCTGACTACGGCATGAACATGCGAGCAGTTTGCCACAAAGACGTTTCTGAATGATTAACCTACGGCGCTCCATATGGTCACTCTGCACACGGTCTTTCCTGAAGATTTGGCCTGGGGACATCCGCGCGCTAGGTCCGGGGCCTAAAAAAAGCTTATGTGCGTCAAAACGAGGGGAAAACCAGCAAGGAGAAGCTTTTTGTATGGATATCCGCGACTTAGACCATGAATGTCCGCGGGACTTGTGAAAGCTTATGTGGCTCTGCAAATACGAAGGCTTTGTATGGCACGCCAACCGCC